ATGGGTTTAAGACAAATGATTCAGACCGGATCGGAAGTTCCTTCTTTAAGCGCTGAATAATCAACGGTCTTGTTTCGGCAAGCAGTTTTACGTTGGCGGCTGCAAATTTCTGGGCTGCTGCGGCCGAGCTTTTTCCATTCAACCGTTGGAAAACAACGTCACCTTTGAAAGGAACTGTTACTTTTTGACTCCGATTCGTACCTTAATTTTCCTGCATTTTCGGACCGACTGTAATCTGAATTATGTGCTTTCCCATGGGAATTATCAAAAAGCAAATATTCTTCGTGCATTTGCTGGTTTGCGTTTCCACTTTGTCATTGCCATATGTGACGCGGTCCATTTATCTTTTGCTCTGAGTTACCACAGTGAAAGAGTCCCTAATTGTGAATAGCTACCACTAATTTCCTTCCCAGTTCACCACCAAACAGTTCTAATTAGTCAGGTGGCCTGTGGTCAGTTTGACTCACATATCCGTTTATTGGATACCATGCTTGCTCGGGGAATTGACTTTGAGAGCATTTCGGTCACGAGCGATGGCCCGAAGTCTATAGTCGATCTTCAATATGTGCTCCATTAGAATGCACATTGATTACCACTGTAGCTTCCATGAGTAGTAACTGAAGGACAGGTTGTCCACGGGCTCGTTAAACCATTTTGTTTCTCTCCTCAAAGACAGTGCAAAATCCACCGATTCCTCCCGACTTTTCCAGTTTTCCCAGTGCAATTGTTCACCTTTCCCGCCAATTGCTTTCCCTCCGATTGTTTTCCACAGGTCCTCCTGAAGTTTCCACTGCGTAAAATTTTTCCACCGATATACCCCATTGTAGTACACTTTCCGTACTGTTTCCGTAGTAGAGTTCAAATGCTCTCTCCCGTTAATATTCACTTGCAGCGTTCTTCCCTCTCCGAATCGTTTTGCTTGGTGTACTCTTCCTTTCCTGCTATCCTCATCTATGCGTACACTTCTAAGCTTCCGTATCCAGCTTCAACTTCCTGCTTAACCGCATTCCAAATGCGCTTATGCCTACTGCGGCCCGAGGACTGATTGTATTACACCGCCGACTCATTGCATATCTGATGCGTGGATATAGTTCATGCTATACTCCTAAATTGATCGCCAAAAGTGGGGGAATCGCAGAGTAGTACCTACGAATCCCTAGACCCGAAAGCGACGCATTAATCTTTCTGATATGCATGCTAGCCAAACAATCTTCTGTGAAAAGTCGAGAGAACCGTGCACGCTACAAGACAATAGTTGAATGATATTCCCCTCTTGGACGATGACACATTCCCATGAAGATAGAGCGCTCCGTCACCACCAAGAACCATCAGTTTCCTAGGCCCATTCATCAGTTTTCATATGATCATGAGGCACTCTCATAATTCGCCTCATGGGTGATCGAATTTGAAATGTTTTCGGTACATCAGCCGTACATCATCCGTACTTAGCATTGATATCTCACTGTCATACATTCATAAAGCCTCCGTGATTAAATATCTAGGTTTTTCTACTACCGGCATGAACAAACACAGGTTTAAATAATACAATGAGAAGACGGGTGTTGAACGACGATATCATTTCGCGCTTTCTTATCACATGCAAACGAGCGACATTTAACGATCACGAAAGGGGGAGTCAATGATTTAAATGATGCCGGAATGGGAGTGGAAGAAGCGTAAGAATAAAAAAACTCCAACAATCACAACATTTGAAACAAGTGTCACTATCCCCAAGGAAGCTTGAGGGTGGCAGTCAACTGTTTTTGCACAGATAGCTCCGGACGACTGGGATTAATTGCCACAGCCTCCGCGAGCTTGAATATCTTGGCGTTTTCATTACGCTTGATAACCGTAAACGCAAAATTAGAATCAATTTGGCGCCCCGTTCCAAGTAGATGTCTGGCTATCGATGAGGCCGGTAACTTTTTATCTTAACTCTTGTCCCGGCGATTGTTTTGCCACACTTGTAGCAACCCATTTCGGGATGTGCTCACCGATCCGCTTGCGCATACATCGGTTGTTCTGTAGATGTAACTGCTTCCACAGTTAAAAAGAAAGTTGTAAATGCAATGCGGAGACCGACTGCGTAAGCTTAATCGGAGGCGTTGGTAACTTACTGGTTTATTTCGTACGGTTAATATTTGATACACCTTATTCTGTGTTCAATCAGACATTCCACCACACAAACCACCAAGTCTTTTGGTCGGAATCGGGAAAACAGCAACTCATCAAGAGGCATAATGCTCCTTCCAGCCTGAATTGCGGATTGAAACGCTTCAGGGCCTCAATCAGTTTTCTCCTTAGGCGATCGCGCTGGCCACTTTTGCACACAATTTTCGATTTAGTTCACTTCAGAAAATGCTTTTTGCACCCGAGAGGGCGAATATTCAGTGGTCACACACACACCCCTACCGCATTGTATCATGAGTAAACCCTGAGACATATGAATATAAAAGGTGGTTAATAAGTGGGCGTAGATAGTAATGTGGTCGTAATGCCAACTTACTAGTAAACGCCGTAATGATTGGAGTTCGGTCACACAGAAAGCACACTAGGTTTGGGACAAGGATGCGTTTACATAAGGGATTTGTACTTGTCCGGCTGATAAAGTTGGCATGCAGTTAGACCTTGCACCATGAAGAAGGTAATTTATCTCTGTATGTACTTTCGAAGCGTGCTTTTCGCAGGATCTGCTATGAGTAGACACTAGAGTGTCAATGAAAATCGACTTTGGAAATGCGACCGAGACTGTTGCTTCAATGACCTATCTAGGACTTTAAAGTACCTTCAGGGGGGATATCAGTCCTTGTCAACTTATGTCTTCGATTTTTTCCGTCGCTGATGATTCTTCTTATTCGTTTGTACTACCGGGGTATCAGCTTATATTGCGCCAACTGTGATATCAGAAATATATTTCATCCTTTACTGAAATCCATTACATTTACCAAAGCAATACTTACGTGAGAGCTTAATACTGTGTAGAGTTTCGGTGGTTTTCATACATTTTGGACTATAGCGCCTGTAGTGCCAAGCTACCTAGTTGAGTTAGGAACAGTGAACCTCGCAGACTACTATCCAATTTCGAACATACTCAACTCCATCGGACCAGAAATTGTGCAGCGTTTAGGTTGCCTACAACATGCTTGGCAACGTTGAATGGAGGCATCCACTACTTGATTGATGACTGTTAACTCGCCTCTGCCTCTCTAGAGTGGGCAACCGCTCGATGCACGTGACTAAACACTCGCAAGACACGTACTCCCGTCATTGACACCGCTTCTTCCCCCTACTACCTCTTCGGTAACTTATGTGCCCACTCATGAATGCTTGCATAGCGGTTACTAACCTTTATTTGTCCTATAACGCACAAGTTTCAAGTTCGAACAGCTCTCTGTTGTGTGGACTCATCAACTCTCCTTACTGTCCACTTGTTTGCTTGTCATTGGTTTATGTGCCTGGCGTTTAGAACATGAGTCCCAACCTCGTCTGATAATGGAATATGGAGAGGCTGCCCAGGAGATCCATTTGACTCGGCGCTTATCGTCTTGTTAGATGAGGCCAAAGGGCTGGCGAGTTGGTGCGGCACACTGGGAAATTTAAATCGAAGAATGATTTTTCGCAGTAAAGTCAAGATATACATTTGAAATTGAGGTAGCTTCGTGAAAATTAAACGCCGCCCCCAATTATGCTCCGTTTGCCCGGAGGTCCAGCGAAACGGTGACATCTGACCGAACTGGAAGAGAGGGAAAACAAAAGTGGCATGAGATCAGTACCATTAATATCCGCATCTATTTGCATCACCGCATGGATGTAGTAGAAATCAAGGAGTGGAAATCCTTTGAATCAATTGTAGCTGCTTAGGCCGCCTTATGTTTTCTCGCGTCAAAGCTATTCTTCGTACGTTTACTTTTGGCGAAGGTAGAATATTGTTTCCTGCGTCTGTCCATACTACCTTTTCTTCGCGTTGGTTGAACAGTGGGCAATCGGGTAAGCCGGATCGTTCCACCGACAAAATGGATAGTGAGTTGTTTGTGCGGCTCAGGTTCCCGTTTGAGGACCGTTCATTTCGTCTTGGGTTTCCTAACCAAATGACTACTTTGTTTGATGCCTTTAGAAGCAACCACAGCACTACTATAAATGGTGAAGATACACTCCTGACCATTCTGCTGCAGTGTGTGTTGCCAGTTTGGCAGCTTCATAGCGGATAGTGTGCTTTTTAGTTTTTTGTGTGTAAAGGGAATCGATGCTGCCAAAAAATAGAATAAGGGGTTAGCGACACCAAATGGTAGGTGGTGATGAATTCGAACAGGGAATTACTCAGTCTCGGCTTTTCAATCTGATACACTCACTGTTTCTCACAGTTCTGGTAATTTTTCCGACCCGGACAACATGTTTCCCTTGATCATCGCTTATCTCTGTGTTGCCGTAGATACTTGTTATGACCTTGATGAACTCCGGCACTTACTCAATATGTGTTCTTTTTTACCGGCTACCTGCTAACGTTGTATTTTTCGCCGTATACTGCTGCTCTGCATGGTTCCTTTCCAGCGTTGCATTGTGTTTTTACTTGACAAGTTGAGTTGCATCATTACGTTCATTATTCCAGTTTCAGGTGAGCGTTCATGCTCATCTAGTCGAAAGTGCTGTTCTAGACAACTCAGTGGTTTGTAATCCTCATCATGATTCAAAATAATTTCCCCCAATTCCCCTGATACCTTGAACCGAAAGCCTACAAATTCATCGGAACGCTCTTCAACTATCGGCTATGTCAACTTCATTTCACAATACTTTCAATGAATTACTCGGTTGAACGTCGCCTTGAATGCCTACCTATTAGTTTTCGATTCCGACTCGTAGCTTGAGTTTTCTGCATTTTTGCACTCCTTCACCGTTACACCTCACCTCGACCTTACTGTGATATCAACGGTGCTTTTTCACTCCTGAATTTTCCCCTTCACACTTTGATTACACGGGTTCTTCATCATCTCTTTATACTCTAGGTTGATCGCATTCGGCACGTGATCAGTTCACTGAAACGATCTAAGGGCATGTTCTACAATTACTTGGACTATCGAAAACCAAGATGGTGTGCAAATGTGTCCGGTCTGGGTGGGTTGGCTGATTCCTTCTATGAATATTTGCTCAAAGAGTGGATTCGAACCGACCACCGTGACATTCAAGCTCACGAGCTCTATCAACTTGGTATAGAGGCTCTCTTCGAAAACGGTGTGTTTCGGGAGAGTGAGAAAGGTCATCTCTATCTCAGCACCTTCAGCTCCGGATTACTGTCGGATACCATGGAACACTTGGCGTGTTTTGCAGGCAGGTGGTGGTAGGATTTTGTACTCTACCCTTCGATTGCGTCATTCCCTATCTGTTGGTGTGCGATTTGTTTGTTAGTCTGTCTGCTGCACAACTGACGTGGATGCTTCATTTCCTGTTACTGACTAGCTTTCACGTGTGTCTCTTGTTCTGTGGATGAGTGTGTAACAACAATCACTTTCCATTATCTTCGGCCAAATTACCATATGCTCTACCCTGTGGGTTATGTTTGCTTTGAAGGTCGATGCTTTGGAGTTTGACTCTTCTTCCGTTCCTGAATCAGCCCACTTGTTACTCCAGTCCTGTTTCATTTGATTTTTCGTAAAGTACTGCAACAGCCACACTACACTGCATACAATGTTGCATCGTCTTCGCTTACGCCAGTTGGGTGGTCATACTTAGCGGTGCCTTCGTTTTTTATGGCCCTCACTCCAACCTCATCCACCCTCATCTGTGTGCAATGTGTGCTCCTATTATAGCCTCAACTTGTCCGCACATTTCCCCCACCCCCCGGGAGGCGCATGGGAACATGCGCTTTTTTATTCCGATTTGATGGGTTGGGAGCGTGCCATTGGTATGTACAATCGAAACGTAGACGTGTTTACTCCTGTTCTCTGTTCCACTTGTTCACGTGTGAGTGTATGCGCACTTGGTCATTCGGATGGAAAAGATTAATTTACTTCCCAATAATGCAAATTCATTGGATCAGAATTTCTTCAACCTTAGCTTGCAAGTATTCTCTTGGATAAACACTATCTTCCCTCCGCTCCCCCCCCCCAATTTTTAGTGCACCCTCAGTTGCAACTTCATCCAACATGAAGCAAAAACTAAATTGATAAACTTGTACTCAACTGGGTTGTATTTTTTCAGCAGACACTAGCTAGCATGTTCACATGCGGTGCGCTAGCGCTGCACGTCGAGTGACGTGTGCGTTTCTGCCCTCTTCTCGGAAGCTGGAGTCGTAGTCACTCCACCATGGGCCTAACCTAGGAAGCCCATCCATTAACGGCGTGGCGGAAATTTTGCAGGTCCACTTGGTAATTCTTATTTTTGTAATTGCCGACTCTATTCGCTCATGACGTTGCACGTTTTTGGCATTCCTCAGCTAGAGACTGTCGAAATTGGGGCTCAAACCAGCAGCGTCGTGATTGTTGACATAGGGGCTTCTTAGATCATGAGTCTCCACAAGCAGGCTCAGCACGTCTCACGGTGATTGAAATGTCTGTTTTAGCTGTCGCACTTCAGGCATCGCGAGTACTTCGAAATCCGGAGATAAGAGCAAGCTGGTTTTGCTTACCTTCCTAATATAGACATACCGTAGATCGTTTGGGGCTGTGCTTGTCTTCAGTGTGCTCAATATGTTTCCTCACCAGGTATCGCAGTGAAGTTTGCTCGAGTCTTGCCTTTTCCATCTCCATGCTTTGGGGCTTGCTATTCATTTACAACGGCAAACCTTCGTTGATTGATTAGAGTTCTACTACGGGTGACACCGAATAAACCAATCCCTACGATTTGATTGGTGAAGATGAGTTGCATCGTTTCACTAGATGTGATAACTCCATACCCAGCTGGAGGGATTCAGTATCCTTACCACACTCAAATCTCCCGCACTCGACTATAAAGTCATCAGAGTTCTGTCTTCTACAGAGTTTTAATGGAACCGGTCTCTTCAACTTGTATCTGCTCTTCGCGTGGTGTATCTGTCGTCATTCGAGAGATATATACACTTTATTCCAGGATTCCTATTCCTCAAACACGTAATATTAATTAACATCTCCTCTGTAGAGGGTGGTATCTATGTGATTCCCCCTCCCAGTTATGTTCCACCAAGCTTGTTCCACTCATTAGTTTGGACGGACGCCAGGTACTGTTGTATTCGATCAGTCTGCGCACTCGTAATTCCTTGCTCTTTTGTTCTTATGTTGGCTCCCCGTCCATCCTTATTCCTTTCGTCTATGGACGCCTGTCGTCAACTTGCCTGCAACTTTTGTGTGTACCCCGTTTGTCGCGCGTAACCGTAGTAACTTACCATAACTATGCACTGTGGGTTTCATGATGTGTGTATTTATTTGTGTTTCTCGAGGGTTAAGCGTCTTGTCCACCAATCTATGGTCACTATCAGGACCATTTTCCTAGAGAGAGAGATTAACAACCAGCTATTTGGTGTTACCCATATTAGCTGATTGCGTCCCACGTCTGAAATCACAACTATCAACCGTCCTTGTCCCCCACTTTCTGCACATCGACAAATCTCTACAGAGGCTCTTCTGTTCCATTCTAGTCAATTGTTGCTTATCCTTCAATTCTCTACTCGTATTTCCCGATCGCTCACCCACCCAATGATATGTCCGGCCCTTTCAGTTGTCAACTTGTGGATTGATCATTTTAGTTACCGCACCACCACCACCACCCATTTGGCCCTTTTGCCACTCACCACTTCTTTGTGATTATGTCTCTTGCTTCGAGAAACCCTAACTCTGTCCTCTCTCAGAGAAGACTAATTGAATTTCGGAACCCTATGTTATAGCTGCTGTGCATTCCTTTGAGGATTCTGTATTTTTTGCTTGCGCCTACTGTGTCACACGTAATGCGCGAAAGTGAGTTCCACATCCCTGAAGTGGTGATGGTCATCACGCGCTTACACTACCGAGTTGGTTCATCACGGCGCTCAGTTGGCTCGAGTGTAGCAATAATTGCTTTCTTATCTTTGGGTGTGTTTACAGATGGATGGATAAACTTTGTTCACACTGCAAATGGCAATGACTTACCGGACGGCATTTGATATGCAAATAACTTCAAATTGCCAGAGGCCGTCCCCACGGACGCGGTTTTTCGACTGCCTTGATGTTGCAAACTGTTGTCTCTGTTTGGTTTTCCATATAAGCTCTATGGTGCTTTAACCGAGCACTTACACAACCTTACGCATCTAACTTGGCTCCGACGTATCTGCAACAGGGAGGTGCGCAGATGTGTACCAAATGATGATCGGGTCAAATTGTTTAGACCAACAAACATGCGTGAACAAATTTCGTTCATTCAGGCACCCCACATCACCTACAAGTGATGCTCTACGATTGAATGAGATTCCATGGGAACAGTCGCTATGCACTCACTAGTCATTCTCCTAAAAGCTGTTGGTCCACATGTCACTCTTCACGATACGACTCACGTTACCCAGCTTCTCGTCGACTCGAGATTTCCTAGGTGGACCATCTGTTCTGTCTGTGTGTATGTGTGTCGTGTGGTGCTGGGTTATCCATAGGGTGTGATTGATTGTAAGACGGGCAGTGAAAGCTACCAACAAGGTCTCACCGGATAATCATCCGTGTGCCTCGGTACCGTCAGTTTTGGCAAAGTGTAGCCACATTCGCTCTAAATGTTTGCCTAATGCGTCTGTCACACCTCTTAGACACCTCGTCAATCCCTTCCCAGCACCGACCTATCTCTCTTTAACCATACTTGCGTGTTAACAAGGCACCGACACATTGCTGATGTGAAACCGTCAACGATGATGAGGATGACGCGTAACCTGTCAATCGAAACGCTACACACGTCGCATCCCAGATGTGTGTTACGAGCTATGGGCTTTTGTGTCCAGTCTCTGTGGTCTGGCCTAAATCTGCTTACCCACGAAACCTGTGACCGGTTGGCTATACTGCCCTTCACAAATAAAGCAGGTTACTTGAACTGCCGACCCATCCGCTTACTGTCATATGCTGGAGCCAATAAAACTACAACCATGTGCACAAAGTTGATAGGGACGTGTAATCTTGATTCAAACGGTTCACCGGCTGGCTGTTCACGTGCTAGCTGTGACTTGTGTGGCTACTGCTGTATTTTGTGTACGCCTCTCTCAACTTCCTAGTCCATCTTGGTGCTGATGCCCACGGGTTACCGCTGATTGTGAATGGAGTTATTCGAGCATCGTTAACTTTGTATTATGCCCATTTAGACGTCAGAAGACTTGCGAAGAGATCTCTTTTCGACACTTCTCCTCAAGCATACCCATTCATGATGAAGATTGAGAAAACAAGGAAGCTAACTAAAGCTGGGATGCTAGCGGTCTGATCACAGTTTAACAGAGGGTCAGTGAAGCCGACAGATAGTTCTGTCAAACGAGTCAGGTTGTAGAAGTTACGTCACACAGAAACAAAGAGAAAGTAAGAACGTAGAGGTTAATGGGAAACAAAGCTCACAGCTGGCCGGGTTCCTGTCCGATACGGACGGAATCCTGGTTACAACTAAGTCAAACTGAGAGCTTGTGTAACTCTGTTTGCAATAGCCTGCTCGCCATTACTTCGGCGGTGGACAGCAGGCGCTTTCTGTGCTGTTTGCGGATGCGCTTTGACACAGTCTAGATGACTTTGAATCCGTCCCTTTCGAATTCTGTACCGAAATATCAGAGTCACCCTGGGAGTCATTATGCTTTCCCTAGTCATTGATTCTCACGTCCGAAAGGATGAGGAGGCGTCTTGATGCTTAGGTCTACGTGCTTATCCGCATCAAAGGTTATCACACGGTAAGGCCGGGTAGGTACCTCCGATACTACGTGGATAATGTCGACCGAGCTACTTCCTCCACGCCACCGTTACATCTACTTTGTACTCACTGAATACTCGAGTGCACTGCGTTCCCATTCCTTTGTGTTCATATCCGGCAGGACAAACTCAACGTATATGGACGAGCCACCAAACGTCAGCTTTTAAAACGATTTCTTGTGCTGCATTTTGGTCCCTGTGCAAAGCTGTCCGGAAACCGGTCATTATTTGTGATATTGACTTCGCTGTACGTGGCGTGCTTTTTGCGTTTATAAGTTGTACCGCCGTGACTCTAGACCATCTCCCTTCTGAGCTCAATCGTAGTGGTCGGGTTCTCCCAATGTCCTCCACTGGAGAAGGGATTGCAAATATTTCACTGAATCTAACTTAAAAATGAATATTCTGTAGCCCCTTGTTATAAACGTTGCATTAAGGTCACGGCGAAGATCGACCCTGTAACTAGTCAGTGCTTTCTTTGTACTCGAGGTCTTAGCGGGAGTACAGCAATATCATATTCTACATGTTACGTACCCGCAACTCGAAACCATTTTAAAAAAATCGGTCATTGTGGCCATAATTGAAAGTGTTCTTCCGATCGTTAGGGAAATTGATTATTTCATATCTGCTTAACATGTACGTTTCACGTGATGCATCTGTGTCCCACATGCTTGACCGTCTGATGTAGCTTACTTCTTCTCCCTCCTCAACTTGCGCATCACAGGTGGAATGTTGGCTCTCGGAGCACGGGACAAATCGGATATCTGGTTTCATCGAGCCGTTGAAATCACACGCACTTGCACTTACAGTTACGATGTGAGCATTACCAATTTGGGACCAGAATCCTTCACTTTCTCCCCCGGTATTGAAGCGATACCTGTAAAGCAGAATCAAAAGTCTTACCTGCAGCGGCCGGAAACAGTGGAATCTTACTTCTACCTGTGGCGCCTCACGAAAAACGAAACATATCGGACGGTCGCTCTCAAGGTGGTGGAGGTACGCGCTTTTACACTGTTGACTTTTCTTACCTTATATGCACAACCACGGGCGCTCACCCTCTCGTTCTCGGACGATTTTCTCCTTCCGCCAATTCGTGCGTTCATATGCACCAGGCCACCCAAGCAGAGCTATGCGAACTCATCACACTTGTCCTGCACCCACCACCTTACCTGCCTCGTTCACATTTCCACAAATCTGCCATCAGTCACTTCACCGTTCATGTGGGCATGCTTTTGCTAGATTACTCCATCTACACGGTTTCCTGCTCATCGCTCAACGCGGTTGCCAACTCAGGCTGAGCGATCTGGATTCCGACGTTGGTCTAAGACATCTACACCTTTTTCCGATTGATTGCATCCATAGTGCAATTGGATTGCTCCCTAACGCTTTGATTTGCATCTTTAAGCCGATTGAACATGCTCATTAGTGCAATTGAATTGCATCCGGTATCATTTCTACGCACCAAGCGCGCGCAGTGACCTTGGTATTGAGCTAGCCCAAAGCAGCCAATGACGGTAAACTTAATAACCCTTGCATGAATGTATGAGTTGGTGGTGTGTGGTGTTGACGCGTGGGCAGTCTGGCCTGCATACAGCAACGGTGCCTAATCTGAATGCAGTTCTACGCAGCTTAGGGGCACAAGGTTGTCTAAACACGTGATGCGACTGGGCATAAGTGGACTACCATGCACATAAAGGCATGCCTTGCGAACGACACCAGTGGGTGAGGGGCTGCGAACACGGTAGTGCGACACCCCATTAGCGATCTTATGGCTAGTTTTGAGATGGCGCAGCCCAAGGTTTTGGACGACCTACCAACGCTCGGGCATACAACGATACTGTATCCGGATAGCGAGGCAGTCCGAGGTGCATGGCTGCGAAAGACCAGGAGCGGTATGACGGAATTGCGAGTAGAGTGTCAGAAGGGGCCTGCGCAACAGAAATACGGGTTGAAAGGTGGCCGCCTTGGGTTATAGAGAGTGGTCTTGAGCGGCGGTCTGCTGAGAGGGTCAGTGCCGAAATACAACTGTGGCCATTTTGTTATAAGGCGAGTAGGCCCTGCTTTGTTACAACGGGCGTCGCTTATCCTCATGGTGGATGCAGTCTACCGACTTGATGGTCCCCGAATCAAATGAGACACTATGACCGTGCTGTCGGAATTTTGCATCGACTGAGTTGTACGCACATGCATGGGCGGACTGGTGCGGACCGAATGTAAGCGCAACTGATACGCAAGTCGGTGCGCATCAACTGAATTCGTATCACATACCCAGTTTAGTGGTATGTTCACACATGGGAGCCACTCCATCGTTGCTCGGCATCTTTGTCTGTCCATTTCACCGCCTCTTTTCCAGCTAAGGTACTTGGCCGACACAGCATATAGGCGAGCAACACGTCAGTTGTTTCCTACGGTAGTTGTACCTGCAAAGCCCACAATTCCCGGAGGTCGATAACACTCAATTTCCTACCTAACGGCCTGTAAACACGGAGTCTACAATCGCAGATGGCAGTACAAAGGTATACAACGGGTCAAGTAGATAGCACTTGACATGTCCCGTAGGATGGTAGTAATGAAGAGAAAGACTAACTAATAAACGTACCAATAAAATGGGGTGCGACATTGTGATTTATCAGTGATATATATGCATGGTAACTGGTATACGTCCATTTTGTTGCAACTAAGCGCTTTCTATACTTTACATCTTCGACACTAAGCGGGAAATTTGAGAACATAATTTTATACGTGAAATTCCCTTTATAAATCCAAATAAGAACATCAGAAGACCAAGGTTGTGGGATGACACCGTTAGGACGGCGTACCAGCGCTCGGGCAGGTTCGGTGTGTCCGGATATCAAGACAGTCACGGGTGAATGACTGCGAATGACCGTGGGTATGAGGTGACAAAATTGTATGGCGTGCTTGTAAACAAAGCGATCTAAGTAGCCTGCGCAACTTGCCACTGAAATGGGTAAGAGAAGAACATTATGGGCGGCACTATGCTGCGAGGGCTAATGCCGTGGTACGGCAGCTAAATTCTTATTTTTAAGCGTATATGTAGCGAAAGATCTGTGCACCGTAAGCCGAACGCAATACACCATACCATCCAGCCGTAGGTAAAGTTGAAGCACTACACTTACCATAAGTTGCTTGCATTGGAGGGGTGGAGGAGGTGGATAATGTGTAGGCGATCGCGATGACATCTGCTTTGGTCGCTTGAGTGATTCGTGTTTTCTGAACGCTGCACCGCTAGCAATTAGCGGACGACTCATAATGCATCGCATGCATTGGTACAACTGAGGCACTGAAGCGAACGCCGTCGACCTTGTAGCCCTCTGAAGTGCTTGGCAATGGGCGATAAACATCTATTTCGCGTCCCGAGAAGGATCGGTGACTTACATCCGACGTGTTGTCTTAGCGTAGAGCACAGCGTCTGTCCTCCCTCAGCGATAACCTACGGCACTATGCAACTTTAAGATTTCCGCAATAATACACGACCTAACAATCAATAGAATGACTCCTCCTCTGTTGCGCACGATATTCCTCTTCGTGATACCATCTTGGTACCATCATCTCGCGACACTGCAGTGCGTTACAACACATGATCTCTCATCATTAGCAGCAATGTAGTACTGAGTACCAGGAATCATCCGGATGCCCTCTGGTTGTCTTGCAACCCCTAACACTGAAACATGCAGGTACTTTCTGCGACAGCACTTAGCCTGAACACCATCGTTCATACCTGCGTGTCAAATCAATGGCTTTTCGATGCATAACATTGACAACACCGATTCAAATTATCTACATTTATATCAACAAAATGGGAGCAATTTACAAATCAGTACAATGCATTGCGCGAGCGCAATTCCTCCTCACATGAGCTATCATGTGCTGGCCGTGCTGAGACGTCACGCGGGCTCGTGCCTCCGACACAATTCGCTCCATGAAACACATTCTCCACTCGGTCTTGTAAAGTATCTCTTTAGGATCTCGCTGAAGCATCTACTCACAGCTTGCTTCACGTATGCTTTTACGATGCTCCAAATTGTGTTGAGTGATAGAGGACATTGAGGAAGGCGCAGGAGGCTGCCCGAACGGTACTACTGCTCCTTGCAAACGCGTTCTAGATTCGATATAACATGTCGCGTCATCGCAGGTCAGGAGGCAGTTTTCTACAAAGTCGTACCCCTGGCATCCAACAGTCCACGTAACCACTGCGCACACCTTTCTCTGTTGTAACTTCCTCTCACGAATGTATACTCTATCAAACCATCGGTCATCAACAGCAATGGACTTCGCTCCATTTCCAACCCCCAACATGGAGGACCAAGAGACTGAGTTTGCCTGACCATTACCCATTGACCGACCTGGTGGGAGTAGCTCTCCAGAAGCTCCGGAGCACCACCCAGTATAGTTCAATGAGTGGACGAGGTATGCAAATCATCGCACCACCTTAGTGTCCCTTCTCGTTGCTTCATGTTTCACCATCGCACTCTCATATCATGTCCCTTTGATGCAACAAGGATTACATTACATTACATTACACGTTAGCTGGAGGTAGAAAACACCCTCAGCTATTGTGCCACAATACAAAAGACAAGAAAAGGAAAACAAACAGTGGCACGCCCGCTGAGTCCCCAGTAACGGATGGACATCGTTCCGGAGATCTAACAGCTAGCTGCCGTACAAGAGAGTCATATTATGCCTAACGAGTGAGATCGTGATTGGAAGAGAACGCTAAGCAGCAGGGGGATGGACAAAGGAACTCACAACACAAACGCCATTGGGGCCGGCTCCAAGCCATATCAGCAAGTGTGTCCAACCAAACGTGTTCACTGTCCTTAGGACCCCAGCCAAGCAGTCGGGATGCACCAACCGACGCCAACTTCGAAGTGAGGGTTTTCATTTCTCTCAACCAAGTCATCACTTGGCCTCCCCTCCTCCTCTTCCAACCGCACCCACAACGCGCAAACAATGCACGTCGCAGAAGTCGGTGTGCTGGCATGCGCAACACGTGGCCCAACCATCGGAGCCTGGTGTGTGATATAATGGTGCTGAGCGGTTCACTCGCTCTTCCTGCACCAAATACGCGACGCCGAACATGCTCATTGCTCACGCGGTGCTCCCACCAGACATGAGCTAAGCTGTGAAAGCAGCGATGATCGAATATGACGAGCCACTTTATGTCTGTCGACCTGATGGGCCAGGTTTCACAACCATATAGGTGAGTTGAACGGACGGCTGCATTATAAACTCTGCCCTTAAGGGCGAGAGTAATGTCGCGTCTGCGACACAGGTGGCGCAGATTGGCAAAAGCACTTCGAGCTTTTGCTATACGGTTCGTAACCTCATCTTCAATCCCACGGGTGCTAATATAGCTGCCCAGGTACTTGAATTCCTGAACGACTTCTAGCAGATCACCACCAAGCGTTAGCGCAGGGTTGGGTCCCTGCCAATCTTGGAGAAGTACTTCGCATTTTGATGGAGCAAAGCATAGCCCAAAACGATTGACAGCCAGTGCTAATCGGTCCAGTGCTGCTTGGCCCGTTTGGGAGCTGTCACAGATTAGGGCAATATCGTCCACATACTCTAAATCAAGAAGTCGCTCACCAGGAAGAAGCTCCACACCTTCTAGGTCGTGTCCAGCGAACGCTGTTTCCATGATTTCATCAATGCCAATGTTATAGAGGAAAGATGACAGCGGGCAACCTTGTCTCACACCGCTGGTGATACTGAAGGGTGACGACAGTTTGCCATAAACCATCACTGTGCCCGAACTATGTGCGTAAAGCGCTTTGATAATGTTTACATATTTATCAGGCACACCTTTCCTCAGCAGACAGTCCCAAAGGGCACGTCGATCGACTGAGTCGTAGGCACCTTTTATGTCACGAAACACAACAACGGTGGGTCGCCAATAAACATGGCGGTAGTTCAACACTTGACGCAAGGTGAAGATGTGGTCGATGCAGCCCCGACCTCGACGAAATCCGGCTTGCACTTCACGAATCGGGCTTTCACGAGTGCCAGTCAGTCTGTGGAGAATGACAGAGGCAAGCAATTTAGAGGCAATCGAAATCAGACTGATCCCTCTATGCCGCATTCTAAACGGGAGCCTCCCTTGAAAATTGGGACAATGACGGAGCGGTTCCAGTCTGTCGGGACAGTCTCCTGCTTTCCAACGTTCATTAGCAACTCGTGTAAATCATCTATTAGAGCAGGTCCCCCGAATTTGAAGAGGGCTGGGGGAATTCTATCTGCCCATGCGGCCTTATGCAATTTCAACAGCCTGATCTCACGT